ACCCGTCACCGTCGCCGTTGGGCCCCACACCCACACCTCATCGTCCCATGTGACCCTAGTGACTCCTCATCTCTTTACCAAATTCTATTTTATTTATTTATTTATTTTACATATTTCCAGAGCTGGGGGGGCCAGTGTTTTTCGTCCTCATGCGCAGCGCGGACCCAGGAGAAGTCCAGTGCACCGCGGTACTGTGCTCCTCTCCCTTTCCTGGCACCAAACACGGAGTCACATAATTCCACAACCCACGCCCTGTTTCTCAAATTCTCTCCCTGTTTTTCACCGCTCTGTAAAGATGCATGGTCTGAAAGCTAGAAGGGGGTGTTTTTTGTTTTTCCAATTCTGTCCTCCATCCTTCTTTCCAATACCCTTCTTTACACAATTATGTAAATTGAGAGTTCGGTTGTGGGTAAAGGGGCACGATGGAGAAAGTGGGCCCAAATTTCAGCCGACGCTATTTTACCCCTTCATCTACTTTGTTTTGTTGATGGGCTCTAAAAAAGGGGTAAGAAATTATTTATGTTTACGGCAGCCATTTTATTTTGGGAGTTGAAAAGTACAGATCGATATGGAATATGAGGGACGTACAGCAGGGGTGAAGGGAGTGACTGAAATTTGATTTGGAAGAGAACAACCCTCTTCAACTTCAACAGAGCAAACAGCCCCCCCGAAAATGATTAGGAAGAAAGTACATGAAAGGAAAAAAAAAAAAAAACTCAATGAAGAAGGGGACCGAACAAGTTTGTTGTAGAATTAATTAACAACGTCAACTGATCTTCGCAACCCAGGAAGGAACTGAGTGTGTTGTATGATGAGTATAATGGGCGTTCTCAACACGTGCCAACGTACGACCAAAGAAGATGAGCATCAGGCAAATTTTACAGGTGAAGAGTCACCGAAAAAGAGAAATCTAAAACAACAACAGTTTTTTTATTGTTACTTTCCAAAATAAGTTTCCGTTTTGTGATTATAATATGCTAATAAGAATGGTTGCGGCCCTTCTAATAAGGATGATACTGATTTGTAAGGAACTGAGACATACACTAAATTCTGTTAAAGCTATAGTCCATTATATAATAACAAGGATACCCAAGTTTTGTGAAGTTACCGTGTATCATATATAGCAAGCGTACCGTAATCTTCTATAGGGGAGGCGTGACCAGTTGCTTAGAGTCACCTGTAGGGCTTATTAGATAAATAAGTGATAGCCCCCCACAACAACAGAGCCCTGCCTGGTCGACAAAGCAAGAGACAAAAGGATCTCCGTGGCCAGCT